AATATTACCTTACAGGTAAAGGGCCAGTGGGGATTATGCTACCTGGTCAGTCTGCCAGATTGTGATTGGCATCAATTCCTTGTGATGCTACTGCAAGTAATGTTTACCCAGTGTTGCTGTGAATGGAGCAATCTAGTCAGCATTTCATTAGTCAAAACAGAGGTTCCTGGTCAACACATTAAACTGCAATAAAAGAGTGTTTAACATCTTTGAGATGAAATATTGATTAAAATGTCATGTTTGTTGAACTAAGACATTAGTGCTGTGCTGTTTTGTCAGTGTTAATTTAATTTAGTTTTAGCCACTGAGCTCCTCCTGCTCTGTTGAGGAATGTATTTTATCGTCTCAGAAGTTTAGGGGTTTGGTAGGTGATGGGCTCATTTTAATGCAAAGCAAAATTTTCTGCAGGAAGTTTTTAGTAGGTTGTATCTGCTAACGAAAGTAGGATTGCAAAATTCAATTTAAGTAAGGTGTTGGAAATCCTGCTGCTTTGCCAATTAGAGGTGCATTACCTGACTACATTGAACTCCTTCCAATTCAATACTTGCCCAATTTATCCTGTTGGGAATTGGGTTTCCCAGTTTACAGAAATATTGTGCCATTTCATAATATTGGGCAATGTCCATTTTTGTGCACAGTTGATTATATTGTAGCAAAAGCTAGTGAACAGTGTTTTGGCTGAATGAGACTGATTGAGGGATGGCTTTCAAACAAAGCGATGGATGGGGAAGTGTAGAATACCCAATTCCTAGAACAAAAGAGAATGATATGGACGCAAAAATCAAGGTGAATTTGATTGCTGTGTGAACTTCATTCCAATTAGATATGTGCAATCTGAAAATGAACTCTATTCATACACCCATATCATGTGTAATTTTCCACAAAAGTATTTTAAATTAATAAGCATCATTGTGTGACTTAATATGGTTTGGTATGGTAAATCTACAACATTTTTGTGGAAAGCTTTTGCGGGAGTTGAATATAAAGTTCAAGTCTGATCACAAGCACCTCTGTTTAGACAATAGACACATCCCAAATAACATTGTGCAATGATCTATGTGAAATGTTATTCTATTTTTTTTACAAAATAATGGGTTTAAGAGTGTTTAGATACTATCAGAATCGTGAACAAATGTAAGGTAGAAGAATTCTGCAATATGAATTTTCTCTGGATTCAAACTTAATTAAGAGAAAATTTCCCTAAGATAAGCCTTTTATTATATTTATTATGCAGAACGGCCAGTCGGGTCTTAGTCATGTTGTAATGGTTGTTTCAATTCATGACCCTGCAGTGAAGTATGAACTGACACAAATTTCCTTTTAAGTGGTAAAATTTAATAGAAGGTTAGCAAGGTTACACATAATCCAAATTATACATTTCATCGAATCAAATTAATGCTTACGATGGGTTAGTAATCAAATTAATTATTATGACGGGTAGCTCGTCCATTCTCTCTTCTCCGATATAACCAAAAAATCTATGGTTCTTTATATCTGATTGGCCACATACGCCAGTCTGTTCAATATATTGTTGGTAACACCAACTGCAAACCAAGGACAAACTTTAACAAAATTCCAGCAAGTCTTTGTCTGCCAACGATGATGTTGAAGAAAACTTGTTCGAAAACTTGCTTCCACTGCCCTTGGCCTTCATGCACCTGCAGCTTTCCTGAAGCAAATTAGTCCATGAGTCTCTGCGAGTTTCCTTTGATAANTTTTTGAATGCTTACAATAGTAAGTATCTCTTTGTTAACTTTTGCTGTATTTACATATCACATTACTGCTAACAGCATAGAACTAAATGATAAATTGGTGGCAACAATGCCTGCAAAGGCACTGTCACTACATTGAGGCATGGATTTTCTCCCATCCTTCGGTGATACATTTGGTGGACTTTTTTTCTTCAGCTCACCTATGTAGGCCTCTCCTCTTAGGTGTTTTTCAATCAACTAGTCTGTATGGAGCTTACTTGAGATTACTCAAGGTCCAGCATCAAAAACATAATCACATTTTTCAATTTTGAAAAATTATGGCTGTGCTTTTCGGTGCTGCCATCAAGGCTGTGGATTCTGCATTACAATTCTAATTAGATGAATCAACCGCAGCTTACATTTATATACAGTAACTTACACATGAATAAAACGTCTCAAAACCGAATATTTTATTTGGAGATTCAGAGTGCCAGCAGCTTGCAAGGTGACTGCTCTAACCACTAAGCTACTGGACTAATTTATATTGTGGCAACATATTCACAGGAAGAAGTGGAGTTACGAGGTGTGAATTTATACTTAATTAGGAAACCATAAGGTGAAGGCGGAGAGTAGCTGGATCTTCCAGTGTTTGGTAAAAAGCTTTGCTACCTATTAACTTGCTCTTGCTGTTTCTGCCTTCAAACTAGACTGCATTTTTACAAATGCCATAGCCTGCTGGAAGTCGTGCAGTGAATAAATTGGAGATACCATTGATTCTAGAGAAAAAGGCAATGACCCATACTTTCAAACTTTATTGGGTGGAGAATAGTAAAATATCTCCCGATTCATCAACCACCTTTATAATAGAGCATTTAAAGTAATCAGTACTTACTGTTATTTTCCATATCACTGGCAAAACATTCATTGTGAACTGGCTGTTGTTTTAAACTTACTATTCCTATCTATAGAGATAGAGAAAAACCGAGATGGAGAGAAAAAGAAAGTCAATCAGTGAGAGTGAAGTTGTGAGGCAGAGAGAGAGAAAACAGTGTGGTAATACAGTGGCAACATAACTCCTGATTGAACTGTTGTAGCTAACTTATTTTTTGTGTGATGCTTTTCAAAATTGTAAACTTATTTAAAAAATAAATTGAAGTTTAATATTTTGTTGTATGATGTCTGATTATCCGCACTGTTTGCTGATCAATAATTGGACCGGTCTCAGTTAGTGTAGATAATTGCCATTATATTATACTCTTTTTCTGTCTTAATTACTTAGTTTAATTGTTTAATTGCAATAATGATCGACTCCACTGGCTCCCCATCCCCCAGAGGATCGATCCTCATCCTCACCATTCACGGCCTCGCTCCCTCCTACCTCTCCGACCTACTATTCTCCTACTTACCTGTCCGTACCCTCCGTTCCTCTGGCTCCGGTCTGCTCCACATCCCCCGCCCCAACCGCCCTACCATCGGTGGCCGGGCCTTCAGCCTCTCAGCCCCGAGGCTCTGGAACTCTATCCCCCAGTGCCTTCGCCGCCTCCTCCCTTTCCTCCTTCAAGGCCGGTCTCAAGACCTTTCTCTTTGACCGTGCCTTCAGCTCTCCTCTCGACTCTCTACCCCCTCCTCGCTCCCTCCCTTCCCTCCCCTCACGCTGACCATTTCCCCCCTGCTCGGGTCATGACCCAACTGTCCAGCGCCTTGGGACGTCCTCCTGACGTGAAAGGCGCTCTATAAATGCAATCTTGTTGTTGTTGTTAGGTTCAGTTGAAAGCGTGAATATGCAGCTTTGTTTTGAACGTACCAAGTGTCTTTCAAGCATTCAAAGCAGAATTGTGGTAGTTTATTTTAAATGAAAGAGTGAGTTATATACATACATGCTGTATTGTCAATTTTGAGACCCTTGGAGTGAAGTAATAAACCACAGGTTGGATGAAGAGCCATTATATGTGAGAAAATAGCTTAACTGTTTCCTACTGATTGTCAGCAGCCAGTCATTCTACATTCAGTAGGTGGCAACAGCAGGCAGTGAACCCAAGATTGCCTATTAGCAGCACGAAGGCATGGAAATAGTGTTCAGAAATTGGTTTAAAAGGTTGTTTGCATTTAAAATAAACTTCAGCTTAACACTTGTGAAATACACATAACTGAAACTTTCAAGTTGTTGAATAACCTGCTAAAGCTCTGGAGGTGAAAATATGTTACTAATTTCCGTATTAGTTCTGTAAATCGAATACAATATATCCTTTGACGCGGAGTGATTGGGGGATGGAGTTCCAGAGATTGGGGGCAGAGTGGCTGAAGGCTCTCCCACCAATGGTGGGGAGGGTGGGTCGGGGAACGTGGAGCAGGCCAGAGCCGGCTGAGCGGAGGGTTGGTAGGGGGTTAGGAGGTCGCAGAGGTAGGGTGGGGTGAGGCCATGGAGGGCTTTGTAGGTGAGGACCTTGTGTTTAAACTCGATCCTCTAAAGGATAGGGAGCCAATGGAGTCGGGCGCGAATGGGGGAGATGGGTTCACGGAGTTTGGTGTGGAAGAGGACACGAGCTGCAGAGTTCCTAATGTACTCTTCTTGATGTACTCTTCAGACTATGCATTAGAAATATGTATGAGATAATGTAGGAAAAGGATGGATTTTACACTATTGACTTGAAATTCCAGGAGCTAAACATTGAAAGAATTGATGCCAATTTACTTTTACACCAGTTCAATTGTGCTCAAATATTCCTGGAGAAGCATAGATCTTAACTAGTGCCAGTGAATGGGAAGTGGCACAGCCAGGTGAAGCCTGGAAAGTAAGGGACTTCTGACTGCCTAGTTAGTGAGATAAAGAGCTCCGTCACCTTGCAATAATAATAGTCTTGCATTTGATGTTATGCCTTATCTGATTGTTGAGATATCTCAAAGCGTTGACAGGATTTACTGTAAAATGTAGTAAGTGTGAATTTGTCGATAAATGCAGCAGCCAGTTTGTGCACAGCAATGTTCCACACACTGCCATGAAGTGGATAATCTCATTTTTAGATGGAGGATTGTTGGCCAGTGAACCTGGAGAAACATGCTTCTCTTTAGAGTATAGTTTTAAGTGATTTATAAAATAAAATGTTTCTTGAAGATGATATCACTATATATGGTATTGTATTCCCTGTATGAATCCTCTCCCTAAAATTTTTTGCAATGTTTTAACCTTTTTGAATGACATCCAATATATTTCCTCCACACCAAGGTCATCATTCTATTTGTATTAAAAATGTTGTTGGGTATAGTATATGTTTTATGTTATTAAATGTTTTTCTTTTATCTTTGGCATAGGACAAGAAATGGGTTCTCAATCATGAAGATGTAACCCTTGCAGAATTACTGGGCAAAGTAAGTGACAAAATAATTATCAATTGACCCATAGGTATGAATTAAATGTCAGTTTGTTGCAACCTTAGAATTATTCCAATGTAAAAAAAATTATATGTAATCTTGTTCTTTAACTTTTTTCGGTAACCAGACAACATTCCTCTGACCTCCAGGATAGAGAAGCAGGCAAGCAGTGTGCTCTTACACTGTCACTCTCACCTGGAGCTGCATATGAGCACCACTGGGATGCTTGCAGTGAAATGAGAGGAATGAGCAGAGGGCCCCTCCTGTGCACTTGCATACCAGCTAGTTTGGGAGCAGAACAGACTGAATCCTGAGAAGAATTTCATTATCTACCTTCTCAGTTAGGAAATTGTGCATGACTCATAGACCGAGAAAAATACTGAATGCTGCTGTTTGACTATCCATATAGTAATTGTGTGTTTGTTACGGATGTGCAATTCAATGTTGGCTTACAGTTCCAAATTATCATGGCCTGTTTAATCATAAACCATGCATTTGTTAATTTTTTTTTGCTAGGAATAGTCATACTATTAATCTGCTTTGTACTGTAGACATTCTTTTCTCTGACATAATCCCCAAAGTAGTTGTTAAAGTCAATTCAACATCAGATTAATGTTTTTTTTTCTCTCGTTTTCAACTCTGTGTTTATTGTATGATACTTTCATCCATCTCAGATATCTGTATTTTATGATTAAATGAACGTTTTTTTATAGGGAAATTTTGGGGAAGTTTTCAAAGGAACCTTAAAAGATAAAACTCAGGTTGCTGTAAAAACATGCAAAGAAGATTTGCCACAGGAGCTGAAAATTAAGTTCTTATCGGAAGCGAGGTAGGTTTTATGTTCTGACTATATGCAGTGAGGAAAAACACATTTATATCTATGAAAGCTATTTCCTCCTTTCATTCATGCTGACAGTGAGTGAACTAATTTATCAAAAGTCCTGTGGAGCAAGGTCATTTTAATTTTAAAAATTATTCACCAATGTTTGAATAATAGGAAAAAAACTTTTTGGTAATATTGATCTTTTTAATACGATTCTTCCTTCCCCTCTCCCTTTTTTGTGCGATGTTCACCCTGCACCATAGTTCTGTAGCAGAGAAGGTTGAGTGAATTGGTTTTGACGCAATGTTATTTCATTTCCATTGATCAAAGTAGATTTGGTGTCAGTTTTTGGCTCACTTTCAAAATGAATTGAGCCTATGATGACGTATTAGTAATCATGTTACTGCTCTGTACTGGTAGCATGATAACCTTTAAAAGATTAACCATTTAATGGAATGTTCCCTGAAGGGAACAAGAGAATTTTCACATAAGTAAGTCACAGATGCATTGCTTTTATTTTGATACAATAACTCAGTTGAAAAGGTAGATAAAAGCTTTGTGTGTCACTGCTGCAAGTGAGGAACATCTTCTTTTATGACTCTTCTGCTTGGCAATTTCAGTGTCAATTTGTTCTAAAGTTCATCTTTTGGGCATTATGATGATCAATCTTTCTTGACTCCTACAAAATAATTCTGATCTGCATTTCAGTCAGTTTAAATTGAAGTGCTGTAAAATGTGCAAGTCCTCTTTAACAAGTTGAATAATGTATGTATTTTTTCCACTTTTAATCAGGATACTCAAGCAGTATGATCATCCAAACATTGTCAAGCTGATCGGGGTCTGTACTCAAAGGCAGCCTATTTACATTGTTATGGAGCTTATTCCAGGTAAAACACCTAAATACATCAGTTTAATTGCTGACGCACAACTAGCCCAAAAGCGTTCATGTAGCAGTTTATTTAAAATGCCTCTCAGCAAACAAACAGAAATATGCTGAATTAAGTGTTGAAAATATAACATTTAGAGATTTTGCAGTCATTAATATTAATATCTATGCAGTGTATTATGTTGAGACCGCTACTTCATTTTAGGCGGATAAATCAAATAAATTCCATGAAAATAATGGGGGCATATTTAAAATATAGCTTAATACAGTTGTGTACAACTTTCTGAAGAATTAGGTTTTAAGCATCTGAATGTGGTAAGTTTCTTATACAATCAATTCTGGTGGCATGGAGTGATGTTTGTAAACCATGATGTCAGATAGCAGTGATATGTCATGTCCCAAAGACCCCATTGAATTATTTCACTGTGGTGAAGCAGGACAGAGTGTTTGTCGAGGATTCTGCAACAACAGCAACTTGCATTTATAAAACGCCCCTCACACAGGATAGAGTCCCAGAGCGCTTGGTTCTAAATAGACACAACATGAAGGAAGCAAGGGTTAGTAAGAGGTCAGACCATGGACAACATTCTCCTTGATCAGGGAATGAACTATGATTTTAGGGTATATACCACGGTGAGTAACTCCCAAGCACTTTTAACTTTTCTGAACTCAGCAATCAGCTCACAGCCTGAAAGGACATTTTTGGAGTGATTCAATTTTACATTATTTAGAATTTGCAATTGTTCACTTTTAATTCAAGGATCCACGCCCCAATATATTGTATGGCGGACCCCCTGAGCCAGGCAGATACCAACTGACAGAGCCTCGCATTAGAATTGTAAGGGTATAATCTCTTGGGGGAGGGAGAAACCACAACAGTAACACAATAACTACAGAAGGGTGCAAGCACCTGTGCTCAGTCATAATAATAATAATAATAATAATCCTTGCATTTGATATAGCGCTTTTCACGTCAGGAGGACGTCCCAAAGCGCTTCACAGAACACACTGTAAAGTGAATTGACTGTATATTTGTGGGCGAACGCGGCAGCCAATTGTGCACAGCAATGTCCCACAAACAGTCGTAGATTGAAAATGACCAATTTATTATTGTTTTGGGTTTTGGAGGGATTATTATTAGGCTCTGTGTGGAGTAAGGAAACTTGCCCAAAGGTTTCGCCCTCTGCCTGGAATTGAACTCAGGTCTCTCACTTGCAAAGCGAGTGCTCTAACCACTGAGCTACAGGACTCCATAGACTGTCAGTCCTCTTACAAACCTGTCCACTTGCAATTTGCCCCTCCCATCCACTGCTTCCCTCCCCCCATGACCAGGCCAGGGCCTGCACACTCTAGCCCTGGTACAGTGCACACACGAAAGTGGTGGGGGCATGGTCAGCTACTTAAGAAGGCACAGGCTCGCACTAAATTGTTGACAGTTTTATGCTGTGCCCGTTGGAAATCCTCCTGTTTCTTTGATACCAGAGATTTTCAGCTGTGAAGAGGAGACATTCATTCTGTCAAGACTAGGCAAATGGGTCCCACAGGTGTCAGCACAATGTATTTAATGACTGTGTCACTCACTCTATCCTAAATTTAACCTACAATCATGTCTTGCAAGTAAAATACTATGTTGTTCATGTTTAGTTTGTATCAGCATTTTTCCTCACCATCTCCATTGTTCAGGATTACTGTCAAGTTCCAGTTGTTCAGCAATTCTCAGTTTGTTTGAGGCTTATTACTTACATTGTGCTGTATGTAATACAGCAAAGTAGAAATGCATCATTAAGGATGCTACAATTTTAAATGGTGAAATAGAATCGTGTAAATTGTGTTAACCATTAATCATTCAATGATTTCTGTTGAGTAACATTAAAATCGGTAACTTATTAGCCCTATTAATATTTCATTTACAACTAACACTTGTCTTCTGAATATAAAATCAGCACTTTTAATGAAAGGAAAGAGGAAATCAGGTGCCTTGAGTTAGAGAACTGCCTTCTCAACCCTTGGACCTCGGGTTGAATCCAGCTGAGAGAGAGAACACAAAAGTCTCCTTTTCCTGCTGGCTGTGAGGGTTTTTAGTCAAACAGATTTTCAATAGGTTCAAGTTTACAACACAAACTGCCCTCAGTTCAACACTAATTGACACTAAATTGCCATTCATTCTTCTTCTGAGAGATCCATGGGGATTGGTGTTGTGGAACTACAGATTTCAAGGTTAAAGTAGAGAGAAATGAGCTTTACCCTGGATTTAACCCATTCTAAACCATATCTGAGAGGGCTTGGTGTAGGAAGTAGAAACAAATTTAATTCCATTAACCAGTGCAAACCACCTTCATCTGATGAGCACAAAAATGCACACAGGGGTTTATAGACCTCAAAATTGTCTCTGTACTCAGAAACCTATTGACAAAATTGTAACCTTATGTTGTGATTTTACATTGCCTGTGGCATTTCCTATTGAAAGAGGAATTTTATGTACAAATCTTTGGGAGAAATGGAAGTGATTTTTGAATGTAGCTCTTTTGCATATTTTACTATTTTACAATGGAAGAAGAAAGGGAGGAGGAGATGAAAAGCAAATGTTTGCAAAGGGGAAAACAGGGATAACAGTAACCTCTGATTTTAGCCCATTAATATCAGAAAACGTTGAATGAAATTGAAAGTGATGTCTAGCTAGAAATGTTTTTCTGCTTTCTTTACTATAGTGTAACAGAAATCTCCCTTTCATGCCTAATTTTCTAAAGCGAGTGGAATAGAGGCATGCGAATACTGTTCCCTAATTTCTATGGATTGACAATTCCTTTACTGAGTGCAGCTATTTGCAGTACCATACTCTTGTTTTTCTGAGAACCTGGATGTTGCAATTGAGTTGCCTGATTCCCACAGTTGAAATCATGGAAAAAGTCAGAATAAAGCATTGACCTTAACCTTCAGATCTTGACCTTCATTGCTGTCAGCTACATACTTTATTTAAACACAGAAGGTTGTGGAATGGCCTGCTACAAATGCATTTTGAAGCTCAGTCCGTGGCAACATTTAAAAGAAAACTGGATAAATCCTCGAAGAACAATAATATTGAAGGGAATGCCAAAGAGCTATAGAATGTGATTAGAGTAAATAGCCGCATTAGAATAAAAATACGCCTTCCAGGTTAACAGGTCTCCGCAGAATTGGGGCTGTTATAATAATAATAATCCTTGCATTTGATATAGCGCTTTTCACGTCTTCTCGACGTCTCAAAGCGCTTCACAGAATTGACTATAAAGTGAATTGACTGTATATTTGTGGGCGAAATTATTATGACTTGACGATCCAGATGTTGGTTATTTTTGAAGCAGGGAGCAAGTTAGCACAGGAGAAGATTTATGAATTTGCCCAGGGGATACAGGAGCGCAACTGACATCCTGCCCCATTGTAGCACTATTTGGGATTTTATGGATCCTAACCACTTCATTATAGTGGAGCTATACTGTCTAATAAGCAGCATAGTCTCTTTCTCTTGTCCAGATAATCACAGTGGATGGTTTGCGTTGCTCTGAACATCACTGCTTCTATACTGAGATGATCCACGATTATTGTTTAGAAGTCTTAATGACACATTTCATGCTAAATGTTTTTCTTATCAAGCAACCTAATTAAATCAGTCAAATTGTTTTATCGTTGGCATCTTATATGAATACTGTGACACATGAATAAAGTGTCTCTAGTGCAACTTAGAATTAATGTTGTTGTAGCAAAAGGATCGGTCAGTTTCATGAACTGCCCCCACTCTCCAGATTTCCATCCCGGAGTCCTACCCTTCAGAGTCCGCTACCCCTTGGATGGAAATGTTTGTCTAATTAAATTTGTTTTTATTTTGATCAGCTTGTGTCTTGACACATGCACAAACCCATTGCTACGCTTTGGAGTACCCAAACCAGATAGGCCTTCTTGTATAAAGAGATTTGATGTTTAATGGTCTTATAGTTAAATGATCAGGATTACAAAAGTGGGGGGAAAAAGAAATTTATGTCTGGTATTTACCCAGGAAAGGCTGGAGTAATTAGGTGCACTGACCATTTCCCCCCTGCTCGGGTCATGACCCAACTGTGCAGCGCCTTGGGACGTCCTCCTGACGTGAAAGGCGCTTTATAAATGGAATCTTGTTGTTGTTGTATGTTCAGGATTTTATTTTTGTTTTTCTCTTTTTTGAGTTTAGTTTCTCCTTTGCAATCTGGAAGCAGGAGTTCTTGTCTAACAATTTCTATTCTCTGTTGCAAGTTGCTTTAGAATGGGGATTGATTGACCATGTTCATCCAGCAAATAAATGTCAAAGGTCATCCTTTGAAATAGTTACCATGGATTGTAGGCCTAAATTGGTGTGGTTTGGCTCTTCTTTAAGAGGGTGTTGTACTTACCTAAGCATTTCATTTTCTGTACATTGTTTCATTTCATGCTATGGCTGCCTTCATGTTGCTAAACTGGAAAATGGAAGTACTTTTGCACCTAATGTGATAGAATCAGTTTGAAATCTTACTCGAATTTGGATACAATTATCTTTTTGTGAGTAGTTTCTCCTCTGCAGTCTATCAACTGCAGCTGGAAGTAGATGTTCATGTTTCTTACGATCTCGACCATTCTTGTGCATCTGTGATGTGACTTCAGAAACGGACAATGACCCTATGCTTTACTGTGCTCTACACGTACTGTTCGCACACCACCAAGCTTTTCAAAAGGCAGTTACTAAGATACAGATCAGAAATAAATACTCACTTTTTTTACAACCAGATCTATCACAAAACACTGTCTGTGTAATTGGAGAATACAATTGTACTGTACAAATGACCTTTCACGGTGAGTCCTCCCAACATTTTATAACCCACAGTCATTCTTTAAAAGAAGGCACGACAGCCTATAGTTGGCTTTCTTTGCAGACAAAAAGCACCACATGGCAAACCTTCCAGTGTTCTACGAGTTTGCAGCAGAACTGCAACATTTGAAGTTTATTCCATCTGAAAGCCTCAAAGTGAAACAGCAACACTGTCAGAACAGATTAGAAATTCTGCTTTCATGTGATATCAGACATTCACAACAGCATATCTACTGTCTTTCTCCAGCATCAATTTCTATTTGTGGCCACCACAAAAAATTATACAATTATTATTGCCAACCTGGCTCAGCCGGTAGGACTCTCACCTCTGAGTTAGAAGGTTGTGGGTCAAGCCCCACGTTGCGATTTTGAGCTCAGAGTCTAAACTGACACTTCGGTGAAGTGCTGGGGATGTTGGGAGTTGCAGTCCTTTGAATGAGATGTTAAATTAAGGTCCCGTCTACCGGTTCAGGTTAAAGATCCTATGGTCCTGTCGAAAAGAGAAGGGAGCATCTCCCGGTCGCTGCCGAGCAATCCCCCAAATAAAATTGATCAGTCACTTCATGGCCGTTTATGGGGCATTAATGTGCAGACATTGTTTACTGCGTTTGTCTGCAAATACACAGTCAAGACACTACAGTAAAATCCTCTAAAGCTCTTTGAAACGTCTCAATGATGTGATAAGGCGCAATATCAAATTCAAGGATTAATATTATAATATGTGAAAGACTCAAAACTGAAACAAATGCAGGGAAGGGTGTTCGAGATTAAGGCGAAAGAGCAGGGAATTGGGATGAGAATGGAAGGCTTCTTGGAAGAGAAAACGATGACGAAAGAAAATGGGCTGAATGGCCTCCTTCAGTATTGAATCCAGAATATTTATAATATTGCAGCACGGTTTGTGTAATATTATTGGCTATTTATTTTAAAAACAAATTGTCATGCATTGCCCTATATGCCATTAAAGAAGGAGGACATTATAATTTAAATATTTTGACTTGCATTTGTAACACATAATTATATAATTTTTAACCTTTTTGCAGGTGGTGATTTTCTTTCATTTTTAAGGAAGAAGAAGGACGAATTGAAAATGAAACAACTGGTAAAGATGTCTTTAGATGCTGCTGCCGGTATGGCTTATCTTGAGGGGAAAAACTGTATTCACAGGTAAGGAAAGCATTCTCAGTGCATCTTGCAGGATTTAATATTTATAAATGGTTTTATTTCTGAAACCAACCTTGGAGGCACTGCAGGATGTGTATGTTCCAAGCACAAAGGGTTGAAAATGCCACAATAGTAAAAAAAAATAAAGTTTTGGTCAGCCGACTGTAATACAGAAACTCATCACCATTCTTAGAGTTCCACAGAGGTATGTTACCTACACAGGGAAATGTCTCTGTCTATTCCTAAACTAAAATTGCTGTGATAAAAGGCTGTGGATGCTGAATCCATTCAAATTTTCAAGACTGAGGTGGATAGATTTTTATTAGTTATGGGTATCGGGATCTGGGGCAAAAGCGGGTGATTGGAGTTGAGGTTCAGATCAGCCATGATCTAATGGAATGGCGGAACAGACTCGATGAGCTAAATGGCCTACTCCTGTTCCTATGTTTCTATAATTGTGACTTGTTTGTGACAGAAATTGCAGGATTCAAACTTCATGATTCACTATCAAATTCACTAAAAAATTGTGATTCACAAAGTCTGTTTTATTGTTTCAGACTTTTTGAGCTTTGTCACAGCCGGGGATTGCACAAAATGAATCTAACTTAAATGTAATACATTTGTCAAGTAATCTCACCTACAGAATGCTATTATTTGCTGATTTGTTTCAGTATAATGTCAAGATTAGCCATTAATGCAGATAATTACTTTATAATTTGTTTACTGTCGAAGCTAATTTAAGTAAACAAAAAAGTACCCGTTGCTTTCGTGCCTCTTCCTCGTCCCCCGAGTCAACCGTTCCACCCTCGGCAGCCGTGCCTTCAGCCACTATGCCCCTAGACTGCCTTCCTCACTCCCTTTGTCTCGCTCCCTCCCTTCCCATTTTCAGATCTCTGCTGAAGACCTTTCTTTTCGACCGCGCCTTTGGTCACCTTCTCTTCCCCCCCTTCCCCCGGCTCAGTCCCGGGATCTGTTACTGTAAAGCGCTCTGAGACGCCGTCTGACGTGGAGGGCACTATATAAATCCAAGTTGTTGTTGTTGTAATAAGCAAAGTGCGGGTCATTTTCCTTTGGGACATCAATTACCAGTAAAATCTTAAACAAAAGCTGCATCTTGTCTTAGATGAGGTGAATTAAAAATACATTAAGATAAGCAATGTGGAATAATCCCTTAAATGAACACTTTGCTTTCTTCTCATAACTGGTCAGAGGTCTGTCCTCTTTTTGTATTTCAGCAGAATTGGAATTATGAACACTAATATCATACTCAGTGGTTAGAGCACTCGCTTTGTAAGTGAGAGACCTGAGTTCAATTCCAGACAGGGCGAAACCTTGGGCAAGTTTCCTTACTCCACACAGAGCCTAATAATAATCCCTCCAAAAAAACGAAAACAATAATAAATTGGTCATTTTCAATCTATGACTGTTTGTGGGACACTGCTGTGCGCAATTGGCTCCCGCTTTCGCCCACAAATATACAGTCAATTCACTTTACAGTATATTCTGTGAAGTGCTTTGGGACGTCTGGAAGACGTGAAAAGCGCTATATCAAATGCAAGGATTATTATTATTATGATCTGTGCTCCTCACTTCATCACAGAGACACCTTTTCTCTGCCATTTTTCCATGTCACAGACNAAAAATATTTATTAAACATAATTAAACTTCAAAGGATTGCAATCTTATACGCAATGCTCTCCATTCCAAATCCACAGCTGGATGAATTGATAGAGATTGGCGAGACATGACTGTGACTGGTGTTAAAAGCAATCAGCTATATGGGGCAGCACAGGTATCCTGCATTGCTTTTAATACATACAATTTATTCCAATCAATGTAAGAAGTGTTGATCAAATAAAATTTAATTCTGTAAAAAAAGGAATAGAGGTGACCACATTAGAACGAACCCCAGTTGGTCAGAGCTGTACTCGAAGCATGGTACACCTAGATAAAAATGGCTGATTTAGGCTCATCGGACAGTTGTTTACATCATTTGGACACGTATTTGTGCTGTATACAGGAAGTACTCCTGATGTCACTCCCTGGGACCTGCCTGTGCAAGCGTGTTATGTGCAGGAAGCACTGTTTACATCACTTAGTGAAGGGAGAAATGTCAGCAGCACTTCTTGCACATAGGTGTTGAGCACAGGAAATGAAGGCAACCTGATGACCCAGATGTTGATCTCACAACCCAAATATCTGCTTTTATCTGTGTTTCATTATAACATGACCTCTGAAAAATTTGGTAGATCCAGACAACCTATTTGCAAGAAGGCAGAGGGCAGAATCTTTCCCTGTAAGGAAGAGAAGGAAATTCTGATTTGCCCAGTTTCAGAGGAACATTGGTTAAGGGACCTAGGAGCAGGTCATAGATTTTCAGTTAGAGATTGTACAGGGATAGACAAGTAAGAAGAATGAGAATGTCCCAGCCTTGTCAGAGAAAAGGGGGAAATATACATTGCATAATTTTTTGCAACCTTGTACTTCGAAGTTTAGAGATGATCAAAATAGAATTTGATAAACATTTGTGAAAAAATTGATTATATCTATATTTATATTTAACTTAATCTGCTATTCAAACCAGTCCCAGTACATGTAACTTAAACATAAGCAGATGGTTTAGCATTACTGAGCTATTTCTATTTTTGTGGACCGAATAGGCAAAATTTGAATGCTATTAGAGTGGATTATGTTTTGAATATCAGCCAAGATTTCAGAGAAATTATATCTCAGAATCTTTTCACCTGTTCCACAAAAGGTTGATGCATGGCAGCATATGTCGATGCAGTGGCACATATGTTTACATCTGCATTGGATGTTCTATTCATTTCTAAATATTCGGTTTATTTTAAATTGCCTATTCATTTACGTAGTATTGGAAAGGGCAGTTCTTATTTTTTAAGCGACAAAAACTTACCTGCTTCACGTACACCAACAAAAAACAAGCTTTGTGTTCTTTTGTGAGAGGCAGTCCAATCAATAACAATTAAAGTGAGCTCCAGTCAGATAGTTTATCATACCATCTCACTGTAGAAAGGTTCCACTATGTCTCATCCCCTGTGGATATCGGGGTATTAGGTAGCAGCTTTCAACATAATTTGGGGGTATCTGGGTTACTGAGATTAGTTGTTTTCTGTTACAGAAGGAATCATGAAAGCTTGAGAGGTGACAAGAGAAAGTGAATGCAGTCAGAACTATGCAGATGTAGTTAAAATAGAACAACAAGATAATTTGTTTTGTCAAATAGAGATTTTAAAAAATCCAGCTTATGTCAAAGACTGCTTGTAAACCTCACTGGTGGTATAAGTGAATAAATGCAGATTATTTTTTAGGTGGGATTTAATTTATTTTCTTTTTAAACACTAAAAATAAAAAAAATTGGAATGGCAAGATTGATAACATTATTTTATAAAAGATGGAAAAGTGATGCAGGAGAAACCCATGTTCATGCAGACTGTCTTGTTATTGAGTGGAATGGTGTGGATTTGGAGCTATTTCTCATACAGTGAATTTCTAGCGTTGACCTTGCTGTCAGGAGACAATGCTACACTTCCCTGCAGGGATAGAAGGGCAGCAGGTGGGCGACTGACCTAGACTCATATTCATGCATGTCTTGGGACTTGCTCAACAATGTAATTGACAGGGCGGCCCGGGCTAAAGGTTATCTTTGCTTTATTCCCAGGGCGGGAGAGAACAAAAATGAAAAGAAGAAAAATGAGATTTAAAAGCTTTTTTTAATATATTAATAAAAGCTATAATTTCTTGGGGTTGAAGTGTGGCACAGTTGGGTTACTTTGGCATTTATCTTTTCAAAGAAAGTGAATATCTGTGTGATTCCCTCAGTTAGCCTTACATAACTCTGCAGCTGGTTGCGGGGCTGGATTTGCAGTCGTCCCAGCAAACATTGCTTGCTTGCCCTCACTGACATGTTTTGTAGCAGACAGGATCAAAAGATAGGTTGAAAAATCGTTACCTTTTTTTATAGACAAAAGTGATTTGTTTTTGTTTTTTCTGTGTTAAAATGCTCTACAGAGGTTTTCACCCTGATTATGTCCCTCTGTGAACATAGACTATATTGACAGATTCACCACTTCAATTGCGAATTATAAAATCTGGTTCTATTGTTGAAAGCCCCCCACTGCAACATTCTTTATAGTTCCTGAAACATTGCTTATAAATCTCATGCTGTGTAATTTGTGGTTTAGTTTGTTTAATAATTAAATACACCAGCAGGCAGAGTCTAACTATCTGATATTTTCCAGAATGACAGCAGTGCATATGGTTCACTGCATGCAAGGCAAACCTGGGAGGCTGAATGTCATTATAGCAAATTGCATATGTGGCATTTGTACCATTCAGTACCAGGAAAAGAAACCACAATCATCCTGTTGTCAAATAGCAATCTGAGCTCAAAGATGCATTGTAAATTGTTTGTTTCTAAAAGGCTTCCCAGATGTTTCTCTGATGCATGAAGTAGTAATATGTTTGGAAAGTATCAGATGATACTTTATTTTCTAAGCATGCGGACACTTTGCTTTTTAAGTGTACAGAATACATATCTGCAAAACTGAACAATTTAATTGCATTTAGTTATAACGTGTGTTACAGCCTTACAAATTTATTTACTAAAACCTTTCCTGCTTGAATACTAATTCTTATTATGAATTTATGTATTTCTCATTAAAAAGTTGGATTTGTGAAGATATATTCACTAATACTTTATGCTTTTGAGCTATGCTTAACTATTGCTAAATTCACTGCCTGAAAACAAAAATATTCCAAATCTCTCATGACATTTGTGAAGTTGTCCTTGTGTCACGAATATCTGACAGCCCAACAATAATGAACTATTTCTAGCAGCTCTTGAGAGTGCAACCCAAAAGCATCAAAACAAGAGCCAATTCTAGAATTCAGAAATTTAAACTGAAAATGTTTAAAGTGACAACAGAAAATAGTTTAACTCTTAAATGATAAACCTTTCTGTATGAACCTTGTGTCTTCAT